GAAAGAGACTGTGCAGAGGTAGGAATGAGGCACCTGAAACAGGAGGAGGGCAAGATAGCTGCTTTTCCTGGCACTGCCAGGTTAAAACAGTCGTGACACTCTGGCCTAAACTAGAGCCAGATTTGTCATTCGAGGCACATCAGATTTCTCAAAGAGCTTCACTTTTACTTACATTCTAAAGCCACATTTGCAGTCCCCCCTCCACCTCCTTCCCACACCAGGAGCCACCCTTTCCTTTCACAGCAACTGAGCACACCCGAAAAACTGACCACTTCTCCAACGTACTCAAACAATTCTCTGTCTAGGTAACTACCGGCTTTAAACCATTTCATCGGCATGACGAGCGCACAAGAGCGCCGACCATTTTTCCCACGCCAGAAAGTAACAGCCGGGCGACAGCTCAGCGAGGAGTCACGGCCGCGTTTCACAACTGCATACAGAAGTGGTCCCGCTCGGGGGCTCGATGCCTTCAAGCAGCCACCTCGGTGGGCCTTGAGGAAATAGTGTGTGTGGGGGGGAGGATTAGAAGGTCAAGCGCCCCCTCGGCTCAGAAGGGCCCTGCAAGGGGCAGGGCTGGACACAAGCACGAAGAGGCTCTGCCCGCACCGCCCCGCTTCGACAGCATCTTGGCAGCTCTGGGTCTTTCCAGGATCCTTTTTGCTCCTCTTACTTCAACAGTGCCACCTAGTGCCTTTTTTGAATCATTTCAAGTAGAAACTTAGGCTCGAAAAGTGGGGAGAGCCACATCTGAGGTGGAAAAGAGCTACAAAGAGAACGAGTCCATCCATAAGATTTAAAGGTTTGGTAAACCCCCAAAGCCACCGGTGGGTGTAACGTCAACTCCAGGTGCCCCTGGCTGTCCCGAGGTAACTTTTAAACATCAATACAGAACAGAGTGAGAATTTCTGGAGCAAAACTAGAAAGCAAATTTCCAGTTCTTAAATTATCATCTAATGTGTTTCCGGGCTTGTTTTAACGCGGCTGGCATAGGTATTAACGCCAGTGGGAGCTTGCTTGGGTATTTATTGCAGAAAATGTTTCCGAGAGTGAATGGGTAAAGCAGCATTGGAAACTGCAAAGCTCATCCATTCATAGAGGCAATTCCCTTATTAATAAAAACCAGCAGCAGCAAAAACTGTCCCAGCTGAATAGTGGCTATGGGAGGGAAAAGTCCCATAGCCCAGGCCGGCAGATGCAAGGAGCAAGGGAGAGGGGAAAGTGGGGTTTTCCCCCTAACTTTGGGGCACGAAGAGGAAATCAGGTGGTGGCAACATAGGTATATTGCGTTTCCTTGCAAAATTTGCAGCTTAGCTAATTGAATTCATGCCGCTGAATTGGTCCTTGGCTGAGCTCATTTCAATGGGCAGGGTTTTTTTTTTTTCCCCTCCTTACAGGAGTTCCCTCCCCTTCTTCTGCTCTCCTCCCGCCTCTTAAAACAACTCAACTCTCGTTTTAAAAGACCCTATAACGTGGGAGGAGGCAGCACAGCAGCAGCAGACAAGAAAAAAAAAAAGAAGTCTGTAAAATATTACCCGTTTGCTGCTGCTGCTGCTGCTGCTGCTGCTGCTGCTGAGAAACCTCATTGCCTGGTTAGCAAGGCATCACCAAAGAGACTTTATCTGATGCTGTATGTCTCAAACTTTCAGACGCTGCCTTGCAACTTCTCCAGGCTCCTGCCTTGCCGGGTTTGAAATAAGATCTTCAGCTTCGACAATGAGAAACTAACACATAATTTATTACTTCTAACTTTTTTATTATTATTATTATTATTTTGAAAAAAAAAAAACTCTGCAACTTTGATCTAGAAAGCGAAGCAGTGAGAGAAAAATAAATGGAAATAGGGAAAACACGTGGAGAAAAATGAGTAGGACTGAATCGCCTTAATTTTTTAATTTTCATTTTTTATCATTTTTTATTTCTGAGCGTCTCAGTAAGTCTCTGAAAAGTGCGATTTGATCTTTTACCTCAAACTTGGAAACTGTTCAGCGGGAGCAACGGTACGTGAGACCACACAGCTGGCTGAAGCCCCTCTATGACCAAAGGACAGAAGGACAAACAAGGTGGGTGATTTATGATTAAATTCCTGTCGTCTCAGGAGCAGAAGACCCTCTCCTCAGATCCCCGCTCCTCGAGGGAGGGAAGCTGAAAGAGATTCCTCACATAAGAGTAGGGTTAGAGGGGGATGATCTTGCCCTCTTTACCCTGCACCTACTTCAGCAATAAATGGGGCTGCAGCGAGCATAAATGAGGTTTTCAGCTGCACCCCCCCCCCTTTTCGTGTGATCTGCCTAGCATGTTGCTGATCTCTACAATCGAGAAAATAAATAAAAAATGAATAAAAATGGGGCAGCAGGTTAGGAAGCCGTTCCTGAAACCCTGCGGGTGAGGTGAGCCC